GAACTAATCACAATGATCAACACATAACCATACACCCCTCTCCAGGTGGAAGAACAACAGAAAACATGAGGGAAGGGTGACAGCAGTCGGTGTATGATACGAAAATAATAATAATTTATAATCTAACAAGGGAGTGGGGGGGGATGAGGAACTGATACCAATGGCTCAATAGAAAGTAAATGTCTAGAAATGAATGAAGGCAACATAGGTACCAGCATGCCTGATGCAATCAATGTACGGATTGTAACAAGAGTTGTAAGAGTCACCAATAAAAAGTTAAAAAGGAAAAGAAAAAGAAAAAAACTCCCACACCTCATGGGAAATATGTTCTAAAATTTGGACCAGGACTGGAAAAACTATACATTTACATTCCCCTGAGTTAAAATGAATATTACATAAAGGAAGAAGCACTTTAATTTTCCTTCCACTCAAGAGAGGCTGAAATGATCATGAACAATACTCCACGTCCCTGAGCTTCAGCTTCTGTAAAACAAAGCTGCTCCCCGGCACGGCAGCTGTGGGCACATAGAAAACCGCCGGAAAAGCATAAAGCGCTGTGCAGGGAAACTGTGTGGAGACTGGTTACCTTCAGCACTGTGGCAGGGACACTCCCAATTCAGGGCTTTCCCTCTCTAGTGTTACAGTTTGCGTTGTCTCCAGGCTCTCGGGCTCCCTGCTTCCTCTCATCCGAATTCAAAGACTAAGAGATCCTGAATCTCATCTTCTCTGACCATGTTTGCTTTCTCCTATGTGTGTTTTAATACTGCCCAGAGACACTGAGACAACAATCGGGCGACTCTGATCTGCAGGGAGAGATCTGGAGGGCTCCCTTGAATTCTCACTGGACCCGATGACGAGGGCATTCAGAGATACAACTCTTGCCTCTGCTGCTCCACACAACAAAGTGGCTCTGGCAAATATCTCATTCCACATTAAGGGGACTGCGGCACATAGATGGCCAGAGGAGGAGATTTTCCATGGGAAGCCCACACCCTTCACCATCCTTGGATCAACTCAAGTCAGTAGCTACCTTCCTCATAAAGTCTGTGTTGGAGTTGTTTTTCTCCAAATCTTTAGTCATTCCATGTCACCCAAACACTAAGGCATAATAAAGGCTCTGTAATTCAAGGGTAAAAGAACCAGAGTCAGCCCAAGACTACCTGATGCCAGGTGGCCACTGGCTTGGCTGACATTTCTTCCACATACCTTAGAGCTTTGCGACTTGGCCACACAGCAAGGAAAATTAAACATCCAGCCTACCACCCTCCTGTCTAGTGGCTACAATGATGCTGTTTGGCTGAGAGATGCACTTTTTGTTTCCCATTTGGATGCACTGTCCAGTGAAGGAAATTAGTCAAAGGTAATGGAATTAACAAATTTGGCCTAGGAGAACCCTATCAAAAGAAATATAACCAGGAAGGAATTGTGCCACCGGACAAAGAGGGAGAGAGGGTATTCAAAGGCACACAAAAATAAGACCCATACTGGTCACTGTTGGCTTAAAAAAAATCTTGAGTTCAAGTGCCATATAGAATACTTCCAGAAGGTAAAGTTAGAGGGGAAGTTAACCCACGGTTCTAACAGCAGAAAAGAATTTTACTTCTCACTATGTGCCTTTCAGGGCTTCTAAACTCTGTACCATGTGAATATATTCCTAGATGTTACTGCTTAAAATATTTTTCAGCATTAGAGAAAGGAGTACTAAAAATTAAATTCAGCATTCCCTAAAGAAAAGGGAACTGTAGTTTCTCAAAGATGCATCTTTCCCCAAATATTTTTGAAGGAGAGCCAAGCCACAGACCCCCCCCCAATCTGCCTCTGCTGTGCAGCTCACATGGGAAACAGCATTTATGTATTAGCATGTGGCAAATGTGTGTACAATTTTGTTCCAGTGACGGAATTTATCTGTCTGTCCATTAAC